ATATATTAAACGGTATATATATTAATATATATTACTTTTAAAGTATATTGTATTATATATTATATTTATATATTACATATAAACACATATTCATATTATATATTGTATATATTATGCTATATATTATTGTATCTGTTATATAACATGTATTCTATATTATATGTGTGGTATATATTGTGCATATAATTATATAGGAGATTATACATATAATACATATAATAATTATACATATTATATATATACATTACTTACAAGATATCTTTTTCCAGATCTCAACCCTTCTATGCCAGCAAGAAAAGGAGGGGATCCCAGCCTTCCCACTGCTTTGAGCTGCGTTCTGTGGCATCAGACACCAGGGCGGCCATGTCTATTCACTGCTTACCACGTCTTGGCAATGATAAGTGCAATGAACAGTGTCATAACCAGAAAAGGTAAACACCACCCCGATGAAGGCATTCCAAGGGCTCCCATTTGGTCATGGGATGTTAGTGACATGAAAAAGTGTCTCATCTTCAAGGGGAGAATGCCACATGGCCCCTAAAAATTCTGGGCACTGGTGTTAACTACATTCACCCTCTGGAAGATGTTTAAGAAGGGCCTCCTCGTGTCTCGAAAATGGTCAAAGACCATTTGTAGTCCAGGACCACTGGAGCAATTTGTACAGCAGAGCATCTGCTATTATGTGACCAAGGGGCTGAGCAGCTGAGCCACGCAATACCCTCTTCCAGAGCAGCTGGCACACAAGGTTTTATGGAGTCTTTGACAACTTAAAGAGTCGTTGATTATTTAGAAACCATGGGTAAACCAGAGTGTTTTGAGTGCAGTTATTCAACTCAGGGAGACTTACTTTACCTGGAGGACAGAGCAAGGGGTCACTGAACCATGGTTACAGGAGCCTGGTATAAACACAGGCCTCCTAACTCATCTCCCTGTGCTAGCGGCCAATGGGGGGACTGCAAGCTTGCCAGTGAAAGGCAATACTACTGAGTCTGCAACAGCATGGTTCAGGCCAAGTCAAAGAACAAACTCCACGGGCACTAAGGATCTTCCTACCCACATGCCACATGGGGAAAGAAAAGACAAGGAGACTCGGAAAGGGAGGGAGGCTTTCTGGGCCTGCCAGACTGGGAAGACTGCACTTTCACAAGTCATTCCATCACAGCAGGCAAGGTTCGGTGGCTCCCAATGGCAACGGATCTCACTGGGCTCTTGCTGCACCATGGGTGCCCTGGGCCTCTGTGCCACCGTTTGCTGTGCTCCATCTCGAGTGAATGCTTTCTCAGCATCCAACTGCAGCCCAGACTCTTCGGCCGTTAGCACAGCGGCTCCTCGGTAGCCCCTGGCAGAAACTCTTGATCCCCTAGGTCTCAATGGATTGCAACCTCCACTGTCCAGGGCCTGTTGGCCTAAGACACTAGTGTTCCAATCTGAGTGGCTCTGGCTGTATTGCCTGCCCATGCTAAATGAGAGGACAGTGCTCTACAGGCCTGAACAGCAGAGACCTGAGCACCCACCTGCCCCGGGGTGGGGTGAAGAGCAGTCAAGACCAGGTGGGCGAGTAAGGCCCTCTCTGCCTTGCCAATGACAGACTCCCATTCCCCAGATCTTTCCTTCCTGGGACTTGGCCTGACCTCGCGTCCTGCCTCCGTCCCTTCCCAGTCTCCTGCTCTTTCTCTGTGAATGTTTCCTAAGAAATGACTTTCAGAAGAGAGTCTGTGTGAGAGTTGTGTGTTGTCTGAAGGAGAATGGGCAACAAAGACAACTGTTCTGTCAGTCCAGGCTCTGCAACACCTTCCTCCCTGCCTGGGGAGGGAACTCTGCTGGCCCTTACTGTACAGCAGCTGCCCTGATCAAAAAAAGGTAGATACTATGGCTGGCTCAAAACTTGATAGTCAGTCACTGGAATACACCACAATAACAGGCAAAGAAAACAGAGTTGGTTTTGTGCAGAGTGGGTTAAGCTGCAAGCTTGGCATTCATAGTGGAATGTTGGTTCAAATCCTGGCTGCTCCACTGTGATCCCACTAATTTCCAGTGTGCCTAGGGAACCAGGACCACTGGGAGAGCCTGATGGAGTTCCGGGCTCCTGGTTTCACTGCAGCTATGTGAAAGGGACTCGCCAGGTGCATTAAGGTCTGTCTGTCCCTCTGTCACTCTCCCTTTCAAATAAGTGAATCTTCGAAAAAGAAAATCACATGACTGAATCAACTGGTGCAGAGAAACTGCTTGACAAAATCTACTCATGCAAAAATCACCCAAGAAAAATGTGAATACAGCAGAACATTCTCAACTTGATAAATGGCAAACAAAATCCTATACCCAATATTATTTCATGCTGAAAGGTGAAGGGTTAGAAGTGGAGGAACAAGAGGGAACGTCCATCCTCACCCTCCTGTTCAGCACCGGCCTGGAGGTTCCAGCAGCAGCAGACAGGAAGGGAAAATCAGCAGCACATGGACGGGAATGCGAGCACTGAAAGCTGCTCTTTCCAGATGGCATGAGGTTTCACACAGGAAATTCCAAAGGATCCACCAAAAACAACAACAAGCAAATCCACAATTTCTAGATGTAGTAAATTCACACAACTCGAATGGACCCCATCTCCATTCCCATCAGAGATTCTAGTACACACATCAATTCTGAAAGCTTCTATACTGCATAATTCCACATACACAATGTTGTCAGAGTGGACAAATGAGAGTGGTTCAGGGGTTAGGGTGCTGGGGGGACGTATGCGCACATGGAATGGTGGAGGCAATCTTGGAGGCAGGTGGAGACCATGTTAGCGGTTCAGGGGTTAGGGTGCTGGGGGGGGTACGTATGCACACATGGAAGTGTGAAGGCAGGGGACAGTGTGATAAACAAAGTACCCACGCGACAAGCAGCCAGACTGAGAGCACACAAAGAAATCACGTCACTTTCCTGCGTCCGTCCACACTGCACTACGCTATGGAAGATAAAGCTACTAGGGGGGTTGGGGAGATGCGATGCCATTGGCTAAACCTTTGCCTGCAGTGTCGGCATCCCATGTGGGTGCTGCTTCCTGTCCCAACTGCCTGCTTATGACCTGGAGAGCAGCTGAGAACGGCTCAAGTCCTTGGGACCCTGTACCTGTGTGGGAGACCCTGAAGAATCTCCTGACTTTGGATCAGCTCAGCTCCAGCCACTGCAGCTACTTGGAGAATGAACCAGCAGATGGAAGACCTCTCTCTCTCTCTCTCTATCTCTCCTCTCTGTAACTAACTCTGTCTTTCACATAAAAATAAAATAAATCTTTCTTAAAAACTATTTGGGGGTATTGGGTGGAGGGTCTAAGAAGCTCTCACTTCCAGTGATTTTGTAATCTCTTAAAAACCGAAGTTGGAATGACATAGGAGGCACTGACTGTGGATATTAAATTAGCTGAAGCGATATGTACATTTCTGAGCCCCATTCGAAGCTCACTGACGTAGAACAGTTCCTTCTTTCTAAATTTTTAATTGTGAAATTCATGTAACATGAAATCTGCTGTCTGCATGTTTTTAAGTGTGTGGTTCAGCAATGTTAGCGTAAGTCACATTGCTGTGACCAACTTCAAACTCTTTCCATCTCCCCAAACTAAAACTGTACCCAAGCCCACGCTGCGCCAGAGCAGCTCCAGGCGCCCTAGAGCAGGGCTCCTTCCTGCCTGTGGGCTCCTTGCCGACTTCCCCTTGTTCTAAGTGGGGACAGCAGTCAGGGCTCAGACAGCAGCCGCTCATCCCGGCTGTGTACCACCCTGCTCAGCTCCACCCGCGTAGTCTGACACCCCCCCACCCCCGGGCAAAGACTCACCTCACACAGCGAGGATCACATTGAGGCCTGTGGGACCACACAAACCTGCCCAGAGTCCCTGGAACCCAGGGCCGCACACGCCCAAGGGGCTATCCTCCGACTTCCCTACAGCCTGGCCCTTGCAAAGGCAGCACAACAGCGGGGCACTTTCCTTGCTGCCTGCGGCCGGTCCAGGCTGCACTCGCAGGGTTGGGCACCTTGAGACTCACCCAGCCTGGGGGCACTGGGACAAAGCGCATCTGCCCTGAACTGCTACACTAGGCTGTTGAGAAACTTCCCCAGAGGCTTAACTGCGACACAGCATCCTGACACAGCACAGCGCCCCTCGGAGCAAGAGTTTACAGATCGCGTCCTCCAAGGCGCCAGTGATGCTCCCTGCGGAGCTTGAAAACCAGCGGACGGTTTAGAGCAACTCTGCGGCTTCCTGCCCTCGCGGCGCATCTGAGAACACTTTCTCTAATAATAAAGGGCACAGTAGGTGCAGTTGTGTAAACTGCAGATGCTGCAGCCAGGGCTTCAAAAAAGAAAACCTTCTGTTACCTTGCTCATGCCCTGAGGTCGGTAGCCGGGGAGTGTGGAAAGGGAGAAGGAACGCGTGCACATCACGCAGCGTGCACATCACGCAGCGTGCCCGCCCAGGGCAGGCCTCCTGCTGTCGCCCTCCCGGCTCCTCTACAAAGGAATCCCTTCGGTGCCCTCGCTCTGGCCCGCAGTGGGTGGGCGTAGGAGGCTGTGCGGATCCTGGGCGCGAAGCCGGGATGAATAATGGCAAAGCCCGGGGTCCTGGTGAAACACACTGCGGCGTGGGTGCACTTCGTGCAGGGGCCGCGGTTCCAGGACGCCTAGATAAAGGTAGAGCAGGGAGCCCCCCCGCGGCTCCACCCTTCTGGTCAGCCTGACCGTCCCCAAGTGCCAGGGGCCAACCTCAGGTAGCAAGGACTCTGTCCCCGGAGGGGAACTGAAAAACTGCAAGCTAGAAACTTCGTAAGGGGCTTTCTGGAGGATCCCCCAGTTCCGCTGCAGCAGAGACCTTCAACAGGGACAGCGATAGAAAAACCTGGAGGAGCGGGGACGTGGCGGAAACCGGCCATAAGAAGCATCTGAGCTCCACACCTTTGCCCTGAGCGGGGCCGGGAGAGGCGGGAGGTACGCCACTGCAACCCGCTGAGCGGCGGTCCGGCCCTTACCTGCGCTTGCCTTGGTCGGTGTAGACATTAAGGAACAGCCCTTCTCTGGCGTCCACGAACACAGGGCCCGAGAAGTCAAGCCGCAGCTCGTAGCGGGATCCAGGCTGCAGCGCCTCTCCCAGCTCCAGCACCATATACTGCGTGTCCAGCGCGAACCACATGTGGTTCACCTGCACACGGCCCACGGAGGTGCCCCTGGTGCCTGGAGGCAGGGGACCGAACACTTCAACGAGGTCATAGTCCAGGAAGAGGCTGTGCAAGAGCAGCCGCGTGGTGGCCGCCGTGCAGCGCACGGTGATGTTCACGCAGCCGCTGAATCGCAGCCCCGGCTCAGGGAGCGCGTCGGGCTGCAGCCGGGGCCACAGCTCCAGGTCGTAGTGCAGAGGTACGACCCAGGACGGCAGGCGCAACTGATCCCAGGGGCCCGGGGGGCGCCACTCGCTCGAGGGGGTCATCGCCACCCTCTCCTGGGCAGAGCCGTATTTCGGAGTCGGTCGGGTTTCCTCTTGCCGGCTGGGAGGGGAGGACGCAGAGCCGGGGACGCCCAACACTTTGGGCTCCGACAGCGGGGTGCGCGCACAGTGCCCAAACAGGGCAGCCAGCACGGCCAGCGCTAGAAGGAGCGCCGCGACCAGCCCGGCCAGCAGCAGGGCCACCACGCGGCTCAAGTAAAAGCCGGGGCTGGAAGGGGACCCCATAACGCGCCTGGCTGGAACCGGGCAGAAGCCTGGAGTCGGAGGCGGCAGCTGGATCCGCGCCTTCCTTTCTGCTCCTGTTCCTCCTGTCCCTCCAAGGCTTTCCCCTCCGAGCTAATCAGATCCAGGCCCCTGCTTACCCACCCCCACCCTCCAGAACCAAAGAGGAGGCGGAACGCAGCGCACCAAGGGGCACGCCCCTGGGGAGTGCAGGGCAGGACCGCACCGCTGCAGCTTCTGAAGGAGAGGCGTGGGGAGCAGGCGGCTGGACCACTCTGAGAGCTGGACCCCTCCGACTGGGTTTCTGACCTAAAGGGATTTGCTGAGGTGTGCCTGCGTTTCCTGTAGGAATCGGTCCTCCTGGACCGCTCAAAGGGCTTCCCAGTCATGCACCTGCTAGACTCCTACCCTCATCGGATACTGACGGGTTGGTTGGGGCCTCAGGGTCAGGACATTTGGGTCATGCGCTGCAATGACCCACGAAGGGTGGTTATGCTGTCAGAAGGAATTTTTAATCCTTTTAAAAAGATTTTATTTTTATTGGAAAGGCAGATTAACAGAGAGAAGGAGAAACAGAAAGATCTTCAACGCTGGTTGACTCCCAAAGTGGCTGTAATGGCTGGAGCTAAGTTGATGTGAAACCAGGAGCCAGGAGCTTCTTCCAGGTCTTCCACTCGGGTGCAGGGTCCTAAAGCTTTGGGCCATCTTCAACTGCCTTCCCAGGCCACAAGCTGGGAGCTGGATGGGAAGTGGGGCAGCTGGGACACAAACTGGTGCCCATACAGGACCCTGACACATACAAGGCAAGGATTTAGCCACTAGGCTACAGAACTAGGCCCCAGAAGAATTTTTGAAAACAAATCCCTGGCCGTAAACTCACCTGTGGAGGGAGGCCGGACGCATGTGGTGCAGGTAGCTAGTGCAAGAACGGAAAGGAGGCTAGAGCCCTGGAGCCTCGGTGGAACTTGGGCGGGGGGGGGGGGGGAAGGAAGGTAACAAGGGGATGGTAGTATGCTAACCAGTATCACGCCCCGTACCCCAGGTGTCCCAAGGCAGGGGCTCGGCTCCTGCGAAGCTTCCGCACAGCCCCATGTGTCCAGAGAGAGGACACCCCGAGTCCAAACCAGGCAGAACTGACGTTCAAGTGCAGGTGCATGTGGTGAGGCACTGGACCAGCCTTCCCCGCCCGCAGGACACACCCCAGGACAGGCTCCGAGGGTTCCGAACGGTTTCACCCCAAGGGAAGTCCACCCGGGGACGTGAGGACTCAATTCCACTGCCCTAACAGCATTAAGCAGAGGTTGACTGCCACACAGAGAGTTACAAAATCATAAAATCATACCACATGAGAATCTAATTAAGAAAAAACTACTTCTGACAATCATTAATGTCACTCGAGTGTTGCAAAAGAGCATATTGGCTGAGAAAGAAACATGACAAAAATAACTGGAAAAGTATTATGTGAAATAACCGACATTTCAATGAAAAAGTAGTTCTGGAATAAACATCAGCTGTCAGGAAAATGTTTCCTACATTTTTTTTAGTATGAGCTATGGGGTCAGAGCACTGGAGTAGCATGCCAACCCGCTGCCTGCAGTGTTGGTAGGTTTGTCTTGGCTGCTCCACTTTTGATCCAGTGGCCCAGCTTACACCTGAGAAAGCAGCACGGGATGGCTACCAAGGGGACCTGCACCCATGTGGGAGACCAACACAGAGTTCCTGGCTCCTGGCTTCAACTTCACTCAGCCCTAGATGTTGGCAGCCATTGGGGAAGTCAATCAATGCATGAAGATTCTCTCTCTATCACTCTGCCTATTAAAACAATGAAATATCATCTTTTTTGTTTGTTTGCTTGTTCGGCTGTATCCCATGTGTTTTCATGTTTGTATTTCAGTTTTGTTTATTTCAAATAATTGCTTTTCTCTTGTTGGATTCATCACTGACTCACAGATTACACCGTGGCGTCATTTTTCCCAAGAGACTTTTGTGTTTCCTTTTTGTCACCCGTGTGTTGGTTACTCAGTGACGCGTTTTTCCATGGTGCTGTAAGTTGTTGTTGTTGTTGTTGTTGTTGTTGTTGTGGCTGTTCTAACTCATACCGGTTGTTGATCTTGTTTCATGATTCTCACTTATGGAAATGTGTAGTGATGGAGTACTGGGGTCTATCATATCCAGATGTGGGGGAATAATGGAGCATGCATCTCTGCTTCCAGACGAAAGATGGATTCCAATGAAACTGTTGGACATGTGTAGACAATGGGACACTGGACTGCCTGACATTGTACCAGCAATGTCGGGGTACACTTAAATAAGAGACTGACAGAATGATGATTCCTTATGAAGGACTACATCACTGTAGTAAAATGGGCAAGATCTGTCAGGGGGTGGGAGTTTGGGGGGAATCCCAGCCTGTACGAAATTATAGCACATAATTCAAAATTCAAAAAAAAAAAAGTGATGCTAACCCTGTAAAAAAAAAAGAAAGAAATATCATATTTTTATAAAAGTGTGCTCATGCACACAGAAAAAGCAAAAGAAAAGATCCCTGAGGAATTACAAAATCAGACAAAGCCACATAGAACTAGCTATTTTAAATGTGGTAAAAGAATGAAAGGAAAAGAAGTGTATGAATAATTTCTCAGTAGAGAATACCAATTAAAAAGCAGGTTATTTTTGAAAGAACCTGTAGAAACTCTAAAATTGAAAGTAAAATAATTGAAATAAAAATCCACTAAATGGTCTTGACAGTCAGCTTTATCAGAAAGACGAAGGAATGAGTAAATAAAGACAGGCAAATGAGATTATTCAGTATGAGGAAGAGAACAGGCAGGAAAGGGTAAAAAAGAAAAACCAGAGCCTGAGGAACCTGTGAGACATGGCCAGGCAGACCAGCACAAATACGGTGGGAGTTCCAGAAGGAAAAAGGGGGGATGGAAGGCTAGAGACTGCATGAAGACACAACTGCCAAAATGTCGCCCATCTGGTGCAAGACATGAATCCACAAATCCAAGAACTTCAACAAATTCCAAGCAGGATAAAAACAGACACATTGCAATAACACTGTGCTAGCTGAAGTCCAAGAGAGACTCTGACAGCAACAAGGGAGAAGGAACACATCACACACCAGCCCTCCTCGGGTTTCCCGTCAGAAACCCTGGGTACTACAAGACAGTGGATCAACATAAGCTAAGTGCTAAAGAAAGATTCTGTCAACTGGGGATATGATGTCCCACGAGAATGTGAGGAAAGTTAAAATGTCCTTGGTTTATCAGAAGCTCGGTGAAAGCAGACTGCAATGAAAAGGCACTGGGGGTGGGATGTTATAGTGCAAGGGTTAAGTTGTTTCTTGGGACTTCTGAAGCCCATGTCAGGAACCCACAGCTCCAGGCTGAGAGCCACTTCCAATTGAGCTGATGCATGCTCTGGCAGGCAGCAGGGGACGGCTCAAGAGGTTGTGGTTCCTGCCAATCATGTGGGAGACCCAGACAGACTGCCAGGCTCCTGGCTTTAACCTGGCCCAGGCTCCATTTTAACGAGTGTTTTGCAAATTAATCGGGAAACAGAAAATCAGTCTTGGTGACTTTCAAATAAACAAAATTAAATTAAATATTTGCATACATGAAAGGACACAAGATAGTAACTGAAAGCCATATCAAGATATAAATGTCTACAATAAAGACAAATACGGAAGCAGCTGCAAGAGCTGGTGTTTTTCTAACTTTGTTTTGTAACTCCACTTTCTGCGGTGGGATCTAAGATAAATGCATACAAAGTACTGCTTTTTATTATAAAAAATATACACATGTAATCTATGAAATCAATAACAGAAAAGAGAGCCAGGCATTCCACTTTGCACTTCAGACACTACCAGGGATGCTTATATCCAAATCAGAATGTTCCTGGGTGTGAGCCCCTATTCCACTCCTTCTTTCTTATTTTTTAACATTTATTTATTTTTATTGGGAAGGCAGATATACAGAGAGAAGGAGAAAGGGAAAGATCTTCCATCTGCTAGTTCACTCCCCTGCTGGCCACAACAGTCGGAGGTAAGCCAATCTGAAGCCAGGAGTTAGGAGCTTCTTCCGGGTCTCCTTCATGGATTCAGAGTGCCAAGGCTCTGGGAATCCTCTACTGCTTTCTCAGGCTGCAAGTAGAGAGCTGGAATGGAAGTGGAGCAGTCAGTACATGAATGAGCGCCAATGTGGGACCCAGGCAGTTGCAAGGTGAGGACTTTCGCCACTAGGCTACTACACCAGGCCCCCAACTTCACTCTTAATTCCAGCTTCCTGGGTCTCTGCCCCAATGGCAGGAGCCCTGGATGGAGTTTGCAGCTCCAGGCTTCAGCGCAGCCCAGTCTTGGCTGCTGCAGGTGTTTCGGTAGTGAACCAGAGTGGGGACCGTCTAGATCTATGCTTCTGTCTCTCCCCACTGAGACAATTCATTACATGTATAACATGTAATAAAGAGGCTGTAGGCTTCCACGTACTATGCCAACATCCCACAGATGCTAATTCAAGTCCCAGTTGCTCCATTTCTTCTTTTAAAAAATAATAATAATTTCGGGCCCGGCACGGTGGCACAGTGGTTGAGGTCCTCACCTTGCACGCCCGGGATCCCATATGGGCGCCGGTTCTAATTCTGGTGGCCCCATTTCCCTTCCAGCTCCCTGCCTGTGGCCCGGGAAAGCAGTCGAGGATGGCCCAAAGCTTTGGGACCCTGCACCCACGTGGGAGACCCGAAAGAAGTTCCTGGCTCCTGGCTTCGGATCTGTATAGCATTGGCCGTTGTGGTCACTTGGGGGGTGAATCATCGGACGGAAGATCTTCCTCTCTGTCTCTCCTCTCTGTATATCCGCCTTTCCAATAAAAAAATAATAAAAAATAATAAAAAATAAATCTTTAAAAATAATAATAATAATTTCATTTTATTTTTGATGATGTTTACATAGTTGAGAGGGATACACGCCCATGTGGACCACTGATTAGAGTGGGAAGGGTTGAGTG